ATCTGACAAAGCACTGACAAAGCAGCCCTGAACATCAGCAAGAGTAAAACCTCCACTTTCACACCTGCATGGGAAGATAGAGATTGCTGCACACAGGATGTAGGTATCATTTGGTGATAAAGCCATGCCATATTTTAATCTGTCCCTGCTCAACTAAGACCCTACAAAGGGTAGGCTCTTCCCATGCAACAGACCTGAGGAGACATGCCATGGAAAAAAATATTTCAAAATATAAGGAGAGGACATGTCATGGGCACCCTGTCTGTCACTGGCAGGTGCCATTAGAATGTGGGATGCTCACTGCTGCCAGGACAGGAGGAGAGTGCCTCTAAGTGAGGGGCCCAGGTTTTACCTTCTTGTACTTTCTATGTTCCATCTGGTGCTTACAGTGATCAGCCCACTAAGAAAACTCAAGATCAACTTCTAGTCAGCCATGCTTTTTTTACTGGCTCAATTATCAACAATATGTTGGCCCCACTATAAATTTAACCTCTACATATTCATGGATCTTTGCTGAATTAACCTTCCTGATAAGATTTTCTCATTGTATTTCAACATTTCCCTTTACATAAGCCTTGTATTTTAATTATTATTTTATTGTGCAGGCAATGTCTCATTTGTTAATCAAATTCCTCTCTATCCTAAGAAGATCCACTGATTTTTCAGACTAATCTACTTTTTCACACATTTCAAACCTTTTGATGATTTAATGATGAATTATTCAGACTACAAAGATTTTGTCACCTTGAATTTTGCTGTCAAATCTTTAGCTACCATATTTTTAATTATTCTCTTAATATTCAACAGCATCCAAATTTTCTCAGGTCAAATAAAAATAAACATTTACCAGCAAAATAATGCTGTAGATAAATGTTCCTACACAGAGATTGTCCACATTGCTGAAAAATACAATTTTTCAACTACAACTACTTCAAAATTTGAGGCCTTCCAAATTAGTACTATTAAGAGAGAAATTAATAAAGCTAAACAGAGAAGCATCCACTTCATTTGCACAAAAATATATAAGACCCTCTTGCTCCTGTGCTTATAAAGCAAATTAAAAATAATAATAATAAAAAAGCTGACCAATTATCTGAATAACTTTAAACTCTTTTTTTCTAGAATCCATTTTAATAATGATGTACTTTTCCTTGTTTGACATGCATATTATTAAGAACATATAGGAACTTTTGAAATCTGTTCCTCCTGTCTTGTTATTTTAGTTAGGGTATAAATTTGATAATGAAGGTTTCAAGAGACACAGAGGAGAGACCTGGCCTAATTTCAAGAATTTCAGATTTTTAATATGTGAAATGAATACCATTTATCTGCCTGAAACCAAACCTGAAGAGCAGTACTTGAGAGATTGCTATGGATTTCAAAACACTTTGATTAGATCCCATATGAATTAGATTGCTGTATCATATTTTGAAAATTGCTTTATGGTATTTTGAAAAAATTCTGTTATCGTTGTCTAAGTTCAGGAGTAGATCTCAGGAACTCCAGAATTTAATGACAGCTAACAGTGGTTCTGTAGACAACTTTGGTAAAACTACCTCAATATTTTCTGCAAATACATCACTTGGAAAATTTGGACATGGTGTAGATTCCTTCATGTGAGAATAAAGGAGAGTTAGAACTTTGTTTAAGGCATCTTGGAGATTAGCTGTAGAGTAAAGCATTATCAGAGTTCTACAAATATCTGTTCTTCTGCCCTAGAACTATTGAAGAAAAGTAAAAAACTTAAACATATCTTTTAAAAGTAAAACTGAGACAGTCACCTCTGTGAAAAAACAGAGCTTAAATAATAAAAAGTCAAATCAGGCAGGGTATATTCGCAGTAAACACTGAATATTTTAATTGTATGTGGTTGTATCAGAAAAAAATAATTATAAAAACTACAAATGTTATTTATTTTAAGAAAAGTTAACCAACCTAGTGTTATTTATATTATTTACATCATCAAATTATATACCTGTAAAATTTGCATTGCTCCAGTTTATTCAATTACTATTTTGCACAGTAAAAAGAAAAGGGATCAAATAATAACCGTGGATTCAATTTCATAACAGTGTGTGTATTTTTGATTTTTTTTTCTTTTTAGCCCAGGGCATGAAATCAAGGCATCTAAAAAGGTATAGATGGAGGAATATTTTAGTAAAATATATGGCTAAAACATCTGTGAGGCCTAGGTAAAAATTTCTCAGTTCAGAATTTCTGCAAAAGCAGGGGAAAACACAGATTTGAAGAATTATGAGGAAATGCTTATGCCTGAGGGCAAGTTTTCTTCCATTCACAATTAGCAAATATTAGGAAATTCATACTGGACAATCATGTGCAGGGAAAGGCTAATGCTTTCTCCACTTCAAATTTTGCTTTAGTAAAAAAATGATTTCAAATAATTATGATAATAAAAGTTATTCTAGTAAGAGAAATTTACTAATCACAAGATATAAATTAAATTAAACCTACTGCAATAGATATACTCTAGATGCAGATCCCAAGAAAAAAAAGGAAAAAAAAAATTGAAGGGGAAAGAATGAAAAGAAAAAAATTTGAAAAATAAATATCTGTTCACTTCTCTGAATGAGAAGCTCTAACACAGAGACTTTGAAATCATTAAAACAATCATTTGAGAAGAATATGCTTTCTCAGTCTTACAAATAGTATAATTCTTAATTCAAGTTAAAGACTTAGAGGTAAATCCTGGAGAAGCAGCAAATCCTTCAAGAAAGGCTGCTGCTCCATGCAAAAGCTATCAAAGAGCTTACTGACAAAATCCTCTGCCCCAGTTGGTCGGGCTGCAGGGGCAGCTGGTCTATCACAGTTAATAGATATACCCTGTGAAAAGTAACAGACTTACAACTGGCTGCTTTCCATGTGCATTTTTGATTCTCTCTTCTAGAGGATTTCAGGAATCTGTTTTGAGATCTCAATGGCATTGGATCGTCTTCTCTCATCCCCTATAACATTCAAATAACTCTGTGTCTCAGTTTACTCAGGGTTTGGCCACTTGTGGGTTCTGTTGAATCCAACGAAGTGTTTTCACAGGGGAAATTCCCTTTACACAGTTTATGGTTCATGACCTGGCATTAATGTGTAAAAATTCCTTCCATTTCATTTCATGTCAAATATTATATGACTGCATCATCATTTTAAATTATCTTGTGACAATTAGGCAGTTATAGGGCTGCAGATCATTGTCTCTGGCATGCATTAAAAAGTAATAACAATCATCTACTGCCTTTGTTTTATAACTTCCTTTCTTCCAGACAATATGTATCACCATCAAGCAGTCAACTTTTTTTTCTATATCACTTGAGGATCACTTATCTCAAAATATAGACATTACTGCAATGATTTCTACACAGTAAACAATGGATGTTCATTTGGAAATTAATAAGAACTGAGAAATATATAGATAGGCATAAATATATATGTCTACTGACACACATGGTAGAACATTCCCCATTCTTCATTACACATGCTATTCTTTTTATAAAAGTATGTTTTTCAATTATTTCTCTTATTGTTTATCTGTTTATTGTTATTAAACATTTAATTAACATAATTCCAAAGTGTCAAGATAATGTGTTTTTAACCTTCTTTATTTTTGTCTTGATTTGCCTAAGAACAGGATAATTAGTGTTTGTTATATTCAGTATGACATTTATTCTTTCTCTAGAAAACTGATAATTTTTACTTATTTTTCTTGATAGTGCTACTCCTACTGAACTTACTCCTTTTTAACCCTATTATTTCCCCTTATTCTTCCATTAGAAACTTTTAAACCATTTTTCACAGTAATTTGTTCGTTTGATTCACCAGGATTCAGGAACACACATACCTTTGCTTAAAGTTTTCTAATTCTTTCAAATTGTCTTCTATTCTGATTATATTTTTCTTTATTTTTCACTTGTAATCACTGTATCAAATTATAATCAAAAAGGGGTGTTTCCAAATTTGCTTTAACATCTTTATTAATATGTACACAAAATTTTGGAAGATAACCTAAAAGATACTCACTGCTCCTGTCACATGATCCTGCAAAAAAGCTGTATTTCAGTCCATTTAAATCTGTAGTTTATATATTATTATTTTTAACATTAGCTTTCTCACATTAAATTTAGCTGCTATGTCATGTAATGCTCCAACACAAATACTTAGGAAGTGGAACCAGATGAGTCCTGAATTTTCATGATGGGGGTTCCTACGCTTGAGGTTATCTTGACAGCCTAGAAGCTTTTCCATTTTTCATAACTGAATTGTTTCATAAATAAAATTTAATCCTAAGTCTTCAATTCTTAGTCACTGATTTCAGGTTTTTCTATTATAGCTGTTCCACTTTGCCAGGAACATTTAAAGGTTTATTGAAATATGATGCCAGAGTATTCACAACACCTATCATCCAGTTGCAAAAAATCATAGTCTGTTCTGGTTAATACTTCAGTTTATGTGAGGGAAGGATAGAGGAGTGGACTGCAGAGAAAAAGAGAGACTGGAAAGAAGTCTTTCTTTTCCCAAAGGCAATAAAACTCCTCTTCAACTTTTGGAAGTTTCAGGGTCTTGTTCTTGAGATAGCTTCAAGGTTATGGACCTGATTTGAAGGGAGATGTTCCTTGAAGCCCAAAGGAAAGATAAGATTTTAAAGACTTCAGGTACAACTATTTCCAATTTTACTTATCTGCTATTGTAGGCATTACTTATCACTGTACTGTAAATTTCCCTACAGGGTGATATGCTCACAAATGAGATGCTCTAGCACAAAGTTCAAGCACTTAAGTGTCTTCTGTGGCTCTAATCCAAAGTCACTTTTGAAAACAAGATTTGGAGCTTCTGAAACTTTTACCCTGTGTGTCCTGGGGTCACATGTTGAAATACACGGAAATTAGTTACCAAGTCACTTGAGCCTCAGTTCCCCCATATGGTCAGAGGCCACTTCTCAGCAGAATAATTCAAGTATGTTTATGCACTTCCTTGTTTTTTTCTTTTTTTTACAGAAATTCCTAATAAAATAAACCGTGCTGATGCCAAACATCTTGCAGTCACCTCAGGGTCAGACAAAACAGAAAGAACAACAAAGAGGTCCAGGATATCGACCATAAGGCGGATATTTGACATGGCAAAACACCGAACAAAGAGGTCATCCTTTTTCTCAACTGGTGTGAAAGTTTGTCCACAAGAATCAGTGAAGCAGATTCTAGCCAGCCACCAAGCTTACTATAGATTAAGAGGTAAGATGATTATTGTAGTATATACTTCCTCCTTCAAAGTCTTTCCTTTAAGTGAGGAAACACAGTAATTTTCCAGAATCTTGTTCTTCACCTTTGAGCAGTGTATGTACTATTGACTTGATGCTTTATTTTTACACAGATAGTCAAATGTTACATGTGCACCAGCAGGGTTCAAGATAGACAGTTACCAGAAGAAAAATAAAACAGTGCTCTGAAAGGGCTAATGAACTCAGAGTAATTACAGGGTGTTCTAGCATGGCTGAACATGAAAAACAGATTGTGCTTGTTGAAAAGAGGTACCACCTTTCTCAAAAGAGCAGGTACCATCATTGCTATTTAAAATCAATAGCACCAATTTAAGACAAGCATTGGAAATATTAAATGGTCATTGCACAAATGTGTTGGTGTATCTGTAGTTATATTAAGTCTATGGCAGTGCTGGTATACAATAAACACTGAGATAATAAATAGCAAGTCATGAAAAAAGCTTAGGGAAGGAGAAATATTGGAGACATTTTAAAAATAAGACTTTCTCAACTAGGTCAGTCCCTTCCCAGCTCTACAGAAAGCCTATCGAGTTATCATTCCAATTTTTGATCCAATTTTCTCCCTTCATCTACCCCTCCCAGTCTTTCATCCTCTAGCTGCTCTATTTTGTATTAGAAAAATGTGTGTGTTTGCACTGCAGATGGACAGTCCAAAGTTAATTCTAAAACCTAGTCAGATTTCTGGGATACAAGTATCTAAGCCAACATCTACTCCCTAAATCACGCCATGGAGCAGCTACAGGCAGCATGGGAGAACTACACTTCTGTATATAGATATAAAAATATTTGGTATCCATTGTAGCATCTGACGGGCATTAGACAGAAATCTGAAATGTGTCACAAAAACCATTTCTTAAATAGAAATTAATCCTGAAAATCCCTAAACTCCCTGATTGCGCTGAAAACTAGCTATCCTAAAGCAGACAGGTATCTGAACTCAAAAAACTGTAACTATGACCCTTTGGTTTAAAAAAGTGAATATGACAGTAGTACCAGCCTTTTGGAGAGCAGTACATCAGCTGGGATATTGGACTCCATAAGTCTTGTAGTGCAAGAAGATTTAAACTTATGCTCCTTTTCCCCAGCAGTGTCCTATATTTGCAAAATTTTCTAAGCAGGTGACATCCAGTTCTTCAACTGAAACTGGAGTACTTCCCAAAAAGCAAGCAACAAAACACCCTCTGCAGCTGAATAATTTGTACACTCATTCACAAAAAGGTGTTTCTGCTCCCTTGAACAACTGCATATTTCCCATTACAATGTCTTTCATCAAAACATAAAAAAAGAAAATTCCTTCAAGGAAAGATCGAAACTTCTGGCAAAGACTTCTGCCCTCCCAGCTGAGCATGTTAATTTATCTGATGAAACTGATAAATAAAAAAAAAAAGGTACACTTGCAATGTGGTGATACAAGCATCATCCTTGAATCTGTAACCACAGTACAATCCTTCATGAAAAGGCATTCTGGTAGCCATGCTGGAGTCTGAGAGCCTGTACCCACCTGTGGGACAATCTTACCTTCATTTTGTTTTGGATATATACTTTCAGGTTCTTTTCTGTGTCTAAAGCCTAGGAGATGACTTCCCCTCCTTCAATTCCCATGACATATTTGTAACTGAAAAAAAATTGTGGATCCTATCAGTCCTCTAGAGATTTTTTCTGCTAAGAATATTCAGACAATTCTAATCTTTTCTACATATATATGCATTCCATTCTTCCAGGGATGAGCACACAACACAAAACAGCTCAGATGTAGGAGCTCAGACAGCTGCTGTTGTATACTTGTGCCTACTGTGACCTTATACCAACTCTGAAGTAATACATCATAGCTTAGGTCACCATGAGGACAGTCTCTTATGTGGGGCAAACTGGGAGAACACACTACAATGCCTCCTCAGTTGGTCATGTGTCAGATTTATCTGGTAACTGGATTACTTATCATCAGATGGTATATCTTTATTCAGCAGTAACTGCTCAGAAAAACAAATACCAGAGAGTTGCAAGAAAAAGGAGATAGAAAGTAGCTTTAATTGCTAGCTCATAATAAATAAATCTCTTCAAAAGATAGCCTGTTCCTTTTTAATAACCTGACCACATCTGCTCCACATGCAGCTGCTCTACTGGGAGGGCAGGTCGTTCCTGAGGTATTATTGAGGGGCCCTAACACAGCTAGGTGAGTACACCGCTACAGCAAGTTTAGAGTATACTTACTGCACTAATTTCAGAGACACCGATATTTTAGATAATGCAGATAATGAACTCACTCTAAGCCAAAGCAGGTATCAAGTACTGAAAATAAATGTCCCATCTCACAGTAATGAATTTTTGCAAAGTAAAGTGCTAAAGGCAACAGCTTTTAAATTACTAGCAAGTTTTGGTTAAAATGGCTTTTCTAATAAGTTTGAAAATCCCCTTCTCTGAAAGAATTTTTAAACAACATTTTGAAGAAGTTTGTGTTCCTTCACCTTGAGTGATGAATGTGTGTAACCAAATCACTGTTAAAAGGCTTTCAAGTTTACTATTTGGTACAAAGCATCTATCCCTAGCCCCTTTCTTCTTACTCAGTCTGCCAGGAAGCTGTGTGGGAAGCCTTTCGTATTTTTCTGGATCGGATTCCTGATACTTCTGAATATCAGAACTGGGTTACTGCCTGCCAGAAGGAAACCTTTTGCATATTCGACATTGGCAAAAACTTCAGCAATTCCCAAGAGCACCTAGAAATAATTCAACGGGTAAGGATTACTGGCATTTGTTTAGAAACTGGGAGAGACTTCCAAGTCCCTCCCCACCTGCTTATTTAAGGGCAAAGTATCACTCAGGAAAAGGAGGGGGCATGTATTAGAAGGAAAACATTAAAGTAGAGTAAACAAAAGAACTAACAGGCTCAATGGTTGGATACACCCACTAGTAAAATGCTGTTTTTCTTAATCTTTTTGCAGCGAGTAAAACATAGAACCTTCCAGGAAAGGTAAGTAGCGCAAGTAGAACCTTGCCACTTGATGTTACTGCCTTCTTTGAAAAGCTATGTGTAGATGTGCGTGGATGTGAGCAGATAATCAGATAGCGTTGTGGCGTATTTGGTGTGTGCTGTGAGAGGTGTGTGTACTGAATATATCACAGGACACAGTAATTCAATCACAAATAATGGATATGGCCAAATATCTGAGTTGCCTGTTCATTTTGAGACACCACAGAGTGTTTTCTCAGACTAATGTGAGCATGAAATCCTGACAGAGACATGGCTTTGCATTAGGCTAGAGCTGATTGGGAGTGTGACAAAAGTTGCTATAATTCTCAAAAGGAAAGTCAGCTTAATAAAAGTTTAGTTGAGAGGCTACATTAAACAATAGTATGAAAACTCTATGCCTTCACTTAAGATTTCTCCTGTACTTTTATACATCATCACAGTGTTAATTAATGTAATACTTTATTTTGTAAACTCTTTGAAAACATATGCTCCTGGCAATGCTCAGGAGTTGGAGAATGGCAGGATTAAAGCTGAACTCTGGTTCTCTGTATATTAATACTATAGTGCAGCCAGATAAATCATTGTCCACAACTTCTGATTGATATTTTGGTTTTTTTCCTTCACGTTTTCTCTGATTTTCAAGAGATTTTCAGGCAAATAATCTTTTCCATTCATAGTTTACACCGTCTCATGATCGCAGAGGTCTTATGTACCTTAATTCATTCTGACATGGGAGATCTGACGCATTTTTTAATAATGTAGGGCCTAACTGAATGCTCCTGGAAGTCCAAAGGGAGGCTTTTTCATTCATCCTGCTGCTAGTGCAAGCAGCAAGGCATTAAGTGAAGTGACTGATCTCAGAGTTCTTAGGTTCTTCATGAACAGTACTGTTTTCCCTAGACACAAGAAGGTGAAGTAAATTCCATGAAATAGCTTCTATTTTAGCTGGAAATGCAGACAGCAATGATTATGCATGGTTTGACTTAGTCTTTACTAGTGTATGGTTTAGAAAATATTTTCTATGTTCTTTAGATGTTATGTAGAGAAATCAGTCTCCAGGTACAGATACAACACATAACTAGTCAACATTGTGAAAACATTACAAATAATACTTGGGTTCTCACCAAGCGAGATATTCAGAGGATGTGGTAAATCAGTTGTCATTCATTCATGTTCTTTATTTATGTTATTAAACATCTAGGTTCTTCCTGTACAGAAATGCAGCTCAGACACCTTTTCTGTCTATGTTACAAGCTTTTTGCTGTCTCTTAAAACCACACTGCACATTTGTGCAGTGAAGGAACTGCCCTTAGTTCCTTCATTCATACCAGTTTTCACAAATACTCCATCTGTTTGCACTGTAGAAAATTTGAGGAATTATATTTGACTCCCCAGTTTCATGAGAGAAAATCCCAAAATTTCCCTTAGAAGATCCTTATCTAAGAACCTAAATTTTCCCAAAAGCTACAAATGAATAACAATTTGGTTTTAAGGCTATAGAATAATTTCTGTTCCAAGTAAAAGAATCGCTAATTCATCTATGTATTTTTAAATGTACTTAGAGATAGATACTATTTCTGTTTTTCAAGCAAGCTAACAGTAGCTATTAAAAATTTATTCATCACCACATGACTGTAAAACTCAAACCAGAAAATAATTATTAACAAAACCAAACCAAATCCTGTGATACATCATACCCACCGTATTATTACTTGAGATTTAGTTGTCCTCCTTGGGAACCATAGTAGGCAGTAACCATGAATACTACATCCAGAAGCAAGCACTAACATTTCCACATGTCAAAATAATCTGGATTCAGGAATCTGATTTGATACTATGACTATTTGGAAGCATCCTTTTGGTATTCTAATGCAGCCTGACAGCTGAAAATAAGCCCACCCACTATTTTCTCACACCACACCCACCATATGAAACACACCTGGAAACTGAAATGTCCATTGGCTCTAAAATTAGAAGAATCCCAAAGTTCTCACTGAACTGCCTTGATAGGATGAGAAATAGCAAAGAAGACAAAGGCTGATTTAAGTGATGTACAAGAAGCCTTGCTTCCATTTTAGACAGCAGTCAACCCTTCATTGACTTCCAAGAGTAAAAAATAATCAGACCCAGTGCACTGATTTAATCTCTGTGATCCCATCCCTCTGGTGGCATTGATAAAATCTGTCACAAAACCTCATGAGCAGATTGCTGACAGGATTGGTAGTCCTCATGCTGCTCCACTGCCTGTTTAATCAGGTCACAAAATATTCTATTGGAGGTAATTTCTCTCATTTAAACTACACTTAATATAGGGATCATTTCTATATTTTTTAGGTTTTTTACACTTTTGTCATTGCCGGTACAATATGCAGATAATTAAATCATTCATTTTCATTTGATTGATAGGAAAGATGAAATATCAGCAGAGAAAACAGGAGGAAAAAAGGTGGAAGACATTCCCTCCATTTCTACAGGTAAAATCAAATCTGTTTGCTCTGTGTCTGCCTGTTAAATAAAATTGCTAAGGCAAATGATTCTTAGGTCTTAGAGAGCTATAATTTAATGAATGTTCTAGAAGCACGACAAGTTCAGTGGAGTGAAAATGTTTTAGAAAAATAATCTTTGAGGAGAATTTTTTTATCACTTTACAATGTATTTGCTATTCAAATGTTGCACTCAAATTTTGCCTTCAAATGCATGTGTTTACCTAGTTTCAAACTTAGATAATATAGTGTTAATTTTTCTTCAATTATAAGATATCATTTAGAATGTCAGCTGCTTTATTTTGTTAACCAAAATAAGCAAGAACGGCAAATAAAGACTGACAAGCAAGAAACTCAGAGTGATGCAAATACAATAAATTTATCAGATTATTACAATTAGGCCTACCAACCCTGTCATGCATTACATTTATTTAAAATTATGTTAGCAATGTACGCAGTGATAAAAATCTGTAAATATGATAATTTTGGTTCAAGGAGAATCCATTGTTATATTTCTTGTGAAATATAACAGAATCTTATGAGGAAAGACTTCCAGCACAGTAATTTTGCCTCCAGGTGGAAAACTGTCACAATGTCTCTTGTTACTTTAAATTGAGCCCTAAAAAAACTGGCTGTCATAGGGACAAAGATCTCAATTGGCAAAATTAAGCTTAGGCACTTGGTGATATACAATGTGGTATGACAGGAGATGACCAAATATTATTAACTCACACAATTTCATTGATGCACAGTCCCGTTTCTGCCTTCAGTCACACCCACACCACAATGCTTGACCTGGAAGAAAGATTCTCTGTTGTATAAAATGCAGTGGCTTTACCCACACCCTAAGTCATGGCCACCTTCCACTGGCACAGGCTTGTGATCAAGCTTCTCCAGTGAGCTGGCCCCTGACCAGCACACAAAGACTTTTGATGTGCAAACTGTTCTTTCCTGACTTCTCTCTCTTTCCCTCTGCTCACAGGCTCTCCTGGCACACCCCTCTCTCCGTATGCCCCTAATGGCACATTGCTCAACGAAATTTTCAACGACACAAAGGCTCCTGTGAAGGTGAGGGCAGCCTGTGCTCCTACCCACTTCTTCACTCACCTTTTCCTTTTGAGCTCAGCTGACAGGAAACAGGGAGACACCTTACAAACAGCACTTAGAAACTACGAGTGCTCCCCTCTGTTTCAGCTAGCAGGACTAAATGGGTTTATTAGCATCTGTTATATACTGGAGTAGGGCATGGCATTTTTTGAGTATATAGTAGAAAGTAAAAAAGCATGGCAAGCAGCTTTTAAGCAGCTTTAATTCATTTAAGGAGGGGCCTGCTGCCTACTTTGCACTGTTTTGTAACACTGCTCTTCATTAAATAATGCCAAAAAAGCGTACCTGCTGGGCTTTCCACAACAGAGGAGATAGGATGGCGCCTGCCTTGCCTTTTTCTGACCAGCCAGCTGTCGGAGGGTTCTCCACTGCTGTCTCCTCAGAGCAGCAGTATCCCTCTGCACCTGCAAGAGATGCCTCTGAGAGAGGGGAAGGGTGCTGGGAGGGGCTGCTCTTTTCCCTGTCCTGTCTGCTGTGGTCTCAGCACACACCTGTGGCCTCACAGTGGAGGGAAAAGCTGCAAATACTGTTGGGAAACAGCAATCAAAATAAGACAGCTTTTCATAGCAGCAAAGTCAACTGCATGAGAAAGGGCTATCATGGATAGGGATAATGCCATTTTATTTTCAGAAAAAAAAAAAAAAAAACAAACGCAAACCTCTGAACATGAAAAAGCTGTATGACTTTATGATGATGGTACCAAGACTTGGTAACAGCCTCTGTGCAAGAAAATTCTCCTCATGTTTGTTTATGCATATGAAAGAGGTAACTGTCAAGTTGCCTCTAAGTAATAGAAGCTTGTTTGCAAAGACAAGAATTAAGCCAACAGATACACTTAGGTACTTCCACCTTTTTGTTGAATACAGTTCAGAAAGCTACTTTGGGAGTGGGCTTAAATGGGGGCATTTCTACCTATTAAATACTGAATTGTGGAGGGGAAAAAATCACTTAGTTTTATTTCTTCTCTTTTTGTCCTTGCTTTTTCTTTCCCAGGAGCTGGGAACAAATGCAGTCCCTGAACTGCCTGTGGAGCAAATGGTGGAATTCAGTGTCACTCTCACTGATCAGGAGTACACAGCTGAACTTAGTGACCCCAGCTCCCCAGAGTACCAACAGCTGGCTGCCAAATTTCAGCTACAGGTAGGGACGCTTAGTGAATGCAAAAATGTTGACTATGTACCTTAGCTGAGGTTCATACTGTGAAATTACCTTCACCACAAAATAGGATTAGAATCTACTGCCCTCACTTTAAACAGGTCATTCCTGTTTTCTAAAGACCTTCACGTTTCCTTCATGTGTAGTATCAGCTTATCCCCTCATTTAAGCCATTTATTCAGCCACCAAGCTAACAGGCCAACATCTGTGACATCAGCAGAAGCCTCAGATAACTGATGAACAGAAAAACTTTAGGAACATTGTTCAGATTTAATCAGGAATTCATGGACAGCACTTTGTCATAATTTAATTTCTACAATAAACCTAATGAGAAACGTAATATAAATGTTAAAAGTAATTATCTGCTGTTGTCTGAATGGTTCTTCAAAGGACATACACTAATTGTGCATTACCATGGTTTATGTAAGAATTGGAACATCTGTGGTATTTTCATACAATTAATAATATTAACTGAATGTTTAGCTATCAGTTTAACTGATAGCAGTTAATGACTTGAGGTTCCCAAAAGGTTTTCATAGTAAAATTAACTAAAGCTTCTCATCAGTTTCATGAGTACTCCTTAGTGGAAGCTCTTACACTTTCCTGGTTCACTTCCAGATATGTGTAGTGAAATGGTGAAGGATGAGTTGGCAGAGCTGGCAAAAATGCTTTCTCTGAAGCTTTTCAGTATTACCCTCAGACAAAAGTGCCTGCAGACATTGTTTACTACACATAAAATGCCTCTTCTATTAAAAACCTTGTAATTGTACCATTACAATTACAATACCTTGTACTATCGTTAACATTAGAATTAAAAATGTGTTGTTATTCTGTTTGTACAAGACACTTAAAACTGTTTAATTTCTAAATGATTTGTCAAATAATCTAAGCACATCTGCAGTTGCTTAATATTTCTACATAATTAACAATTTACATGTGACTTGAATCACAAAATTATTCATGAACCAAAAATGTTGAAAATGAGAAAACCATTTGATTCATGTTGTTTTACTTACTGTGCTATGAAATAGATTATCACTTGTTTGCATAATTACATTACTAAGAAAAGCAATATTTTGTGCTTCTTTTTGCCTATTGACAGGTAATACAACAAGTATATGCAAAGCAAATATTGTGTTTAAGCTGAGCAATTATGATACCCAAAAGAGCACAGTTGAGACTGTTTTCTAAAGCTCTGTCTGAAATACGAAAAAAGTTGTCTAGGCAGTCAACTTGTGATTGCCTTTTACTCATAGATCTTATGCTGATTTTCTTTTATAATTTTTTATGGCTTTCTATAGATGAAAAAAATATTTGAGAAACTTCCAGGATTCAAAGAAATCCGTGTCTTAGGATTCAAGTAAGTAAGAAAAGGGGGCTTTCTTTTTTGTTGGCTCCTAGGGTTCTGCTCTTTCTTCTTGTCCTCAAAAAGCAAGAGACCTGTTGAGCAGTGGGGTGTGTGTTGCTGTAAACAGAAAGCAATTTTATGGGAATATCATAGGGACAATATGACAGGAAGTGCAAAAAAGTGAGACTATGAGGTTTTGAATTACTTAGTAAGAGTAGCCTTGATTCCCTGAAGCTTGAAGGATACAATAAATTCTTTGAATTGTTTGTTAACAGCCCTGTATTAAGGACTTTTTAAAATGAGAAGATAAATAGAGCAGGATGATTATTTAGCTGACAATGCTTTTGCCCTTCATAAGCCACAATGAAGGTGCCTTGGCAAGAGGGGGTTGCAGGAGGATACATGTTCACACATATAAAACTTGTTCAGTAGTTGTTTCTCAGGCTTTTCAAACAATTTTAAAAGTTTCACTTTTTCAGTAAATTTGTGTTCTGTCTTGACATTTCTTTTAGTTTTAGCTTCTTTGTGTGTTTACTACTAACACAACCTCTAGTGTACTTTTTCAGTAGAGAATCTATACAGGAGGGGTAGGACATTGCACAAAAAATCAAATGAAAAACAAATAACTAATAGTAAGAAACTGCAAAAAGGGAAAAAGAGTGGGGAAAAAAGACAAATGTGTGTGGTCTTATGGCACAGCATCAGGAACATTCAATACTTGTAGCAATATTTAATACATGTTGAAGAACACTCATATTGCAATGCAATTTTAGACAAAAACATCCTTCTTCCTAGCATTTCTTTCTGCAAAAAATTGCTGGGGAAAAGGAGAGAGAAGAGAAAAATAGTCTGAAAATTAGTTCCTTACATTTTTATATTGAAATTAATAAACCAAAAAGCTGTCTGCTGCAGTACAAGCAGAGAAAATCTGTAGTAGCATCTCATAGTTACAACTTGCAATACCTAATTGATTCCAGTTGTGACTCCAGGAGGTCTGGGATCCATTTTAGTTTCATACCTTGGACTTAGCTGGTATGAGAGATCATTTATCAGTGTGAAAATTTTGATTGATTCCCATTATCCAGTAATTTATTCAGCTTTGGGAGCTACAGATCAGCAGAGATGGCTGTTGCTGTCCATTGTCCCTTGGCCACAGTACTGCATATTTTAGCAGCAATTCCCACAAGGCAATGAAGAAAGACAACATCACAGGTATTCTGGAGAGCTCACCAAGGAAAAATAACTGGGTGTTATATGTAGAAGGTCAACACAGACATGTCTTCCAGAGGTAATTAATGGTTCAAGTTACCCCTGTGACTACAGTCAGAGTAGGTATCGTGTGTGGTAACCGTGATCATGGAAATTACTGCCCCAAGTGCCCACTGCCACCACAGAGAGCAGCAATGACAGGGCTCAAACTGCACCATTTGATGACAGGAGCAGGAAAGCTGATGTTTCAAGCTGCCATGGTAAAGTAAAATTCCTCTTTCCCCACACAAACCATGGTGTTTCCCATTGTTTGGGAGGGAAAAAGTGAACAGATGGAGAGTAGACTGTCATTTTGAAACAGAGATAAAAATAGAAGGAGAAAGATGGGTAATCTTTCTGTAACTCATAATCGTTTTATAGACTAATTAAAATGTTATTAATAATTTTATGAAGCACATAGATAAATGAGTAAATGTTTTTATCTTGATGTGACAAAGTGAATTGGTTGTGCTCTGCCTAAGTATACAATCTGTGATATAAAGTGTCAGGTTTAGCTTTAACTTTAATCTGAATGTTTCATGTAATCAAATTTTGTCAGGATGTCTCTTAAAGAAAGAAAATGCTTAACCTAAGAAAATTCACATTTATATGACTAAAGATTTATACCAGCCATATACTGAAAGTGAAAAATAAGTAGGGAAACTTTATATTCAAATTTTCATTTTTGATCTGCTGTTTCCTAGCTGTATTCCCATGTACACAATATTTCCAATAAGGATGTAGAATTTGATTTGTTGTCTCCATTATCAAACCAGATAGAATAGCAAAGAGACCAGTTACTTGCTTGATAAAAGGCAGAGAGATTTTCACTGGTAATACAAACAGCTACAGAGTCTATTGTTGTTACTTAAAAGTGCTACTGGGGAATAATTTGTCTAGCAATTTCCCAGAATTTCTCTTTTGCTCATGCTTTAGAAGGAAGAATTGTCTAATGTGTTCCCTGAATTCTTGCAATGTCATATAAATGCAAATGCATGGCACATACTAAAGTGAAGTTCTTCTCTCTAGTTATTTGACATTGTAAAAAAAATAGCATAGTGGAATAGAAATGTTTACAACGTACTCATTATTTTTCGTTTAATTAGGTGAATTTAACATGTATGATGTATTAAAAATGGTGAATATTTGAGGTTTCTGTTAAACATGAACATCTAGGGAGAGGCCATACACACCCACTTGGACTTGGAAAAGCTAATTCCCATTGTGGAAAAAGTGCTTTGTTTGCCACATTAGCTTGCTGTTCATAGAAAAAGAATGAAAAAATTGTCTCAGTTATGATAAGGTTTTTGCTTATCTGCAGTTTTATGAACTATCTAATCCCTTTTCATAGGTTCCTGAATAATTAATGCAATTATGGCTTCTAATAACCCCAGTGTGCATTTATAGCTATTTGAATCAGTAGTCAAGGACTTCAGACTACATTAGAAGTTCTACAGATTTCTGAGTAGTCATACTCCTTCAATGTGGGAGTCCTTATTAAAAGTTATGCAGAGAAAAAAAAAGGGGTTAGGTGAAGGAAAAGTAGTTTGAAGGTGACAGTCTCATTAGAAATAAGTACATTTGCATCACTCTTACAGAAGATAATATGATTGCACATTTGTTTGTTTGTGTATAAAATCATTTCTACTTTGAGAGAGATGGCTCAGAAACCAAAGGCACAGCAGATGACATCTCAACTATTGGATCCAATAAGGTTGAAAGTGAAAAAATACCAATTTCTCCAGTTGAAGAGAGGGAAATATCAGCAACTAAACTGACAGTAACAGACCTTCAGCAGCTGGTTGCCACTGCACTCCATGAAGACCAGTCCCTGCCAGTGGACCTTGGAACACTTCAGTTTACTGATGGTCAGTAAAGCAGGTGGCAGGTGCCAGGCACAAGCCTGAATCCTGCCTTCCCAAACTAATGCAATTTCAGTAAGGTGTCCTTTGCTTCTTTAATAGATTTTCATCTGACATAGCCCATTCTCCTTGGTGTTGTACAGCATCCAAAGGGCGTAGGGAAATAAGTTAAAATTTATAGTAAAATGAGTCTTTATAATTATACAGCCTAACTTGCAACCATATTAGAAGATTTTTTTTCTTGGCTTTTTGTTTAGAAAATCTGGTTATTCTGCACACCAAGATCATTAAGAGGAGAAAAATAAAATAAATACTATGAATATTCACTGAATATTTTTAACTTCCCAGTATGGACAGTCTCCTTCCTTTAACAAGAAAAAAAGTGAGATCTGCCCCTAACATAAAATTAGCTTTCTGAAAGCTCTGTCTTGGTTGTAAGCAAACCATCTAACCTCTCAGAAACATCAGGGAGATTGGCACACAGCATTTGAACCCAAGATAAAATCAGTAAAGATTTATTTCACTCACACTCGGAAACACAGAAGGAGTGCAGAAGACAAGCTGGGTGTGAAAACCTCCAGCAGAAGATGAAGGTCTGCACCCTGTTCAGTAATCCAGCTAATAAATATCCCTTTCTAGTTTATCAAAGATTTTTGCAAAGCTAACAAACTACTTTTGGGGAGATGCGTTAAAAAATAGGGAAAAATAATTTAAAATATTTTTTTGTATGTGCATTTACTGTAACAATCTCAAAACCCATACAGAATTTTAGCTACAGTGTTTCATTTGCAAACAGCAGCCTTTTCTTGCCCAAAAAAAAAATTTATTCAGTTGAACTAATACTTTCTGTAAGAATAAAGTGTCATGCTTTAATGTAGATTAAAAGTTCCAAGAAAAAAAAAAGAACACTTCAATAATAAATATTTTAATCAACTTTCTCCCAGTAGTTAATTCTAATAACCAATTTTAGAAAAAGCAGTTTGCATGCAAGTACTTCTAAGATCTCTGAGAGATGAAAGGAGCAACTTGAGCGCTAAAGCCAAAACACTGACGTTAACAGTGGTGTGGACTCAGGGTAAAACTGGAATGACTTTAGGCTTAATGAACACAATATAATGAGTCATCATAGCCCATGCAGCTTTAACTGAGGGCTTCACACTTCAGGTGATTTTAAGCATTTCTCCTTGGTTCAGCTCTCTGCAGACCTATCTCATTTATGCTAAATAAACCATATGAAGAATGGTGTATAAAAAAAATTGTTTTCTTCATAATGGTCTTTTGAATGGGAATTGATGCTTTTTTTGTCTTAACATGGATTTTTAAAAGCAATTTTTTTGATGCAGATCATTTAAGTACTGGGGTTTTTTATTGAGTTTATGTGTTTAGATCAATTTTCAATGTGCTGATGATGCTGAAGTGTTCTGTGCTACCTCTCTCTCTCTCTCTGTAACGTTTTTGATTTTTTTTTGCAGAAACTATTATACCACCTAGTGATTTAGACAATGATATCCAAGGTGTGGTCACTATTCCTCTGGCAGGCCCTGATTTGGTAGGTTAATAATGTTTTTCATGTTTATTTATTTCTCCACAGGAAAAGAAATTAAACAGTGCTAAGAGGTACATAAACATACAAAAAATTCATTATGCTAGAATAACATATATGCCTTTTGTACATGCTGTAAGGATGAATGCTGTGCTGTTACACTGCAACAGAGATAATGTTTAGAGCATTTACAGGTTATTACTGCTTTGATTACCTTTTCCAGGTTTAATTACAAAGTAAACAGTATATCATCAGGTCTGTAGCAGATCTTAATTACAGACAGAGACAAGTTTACAAGGCTAGTTAAGGTCATCTTTCTTTTCTCATTTTTTAAATTACAGGCCATGTGATTAGCATCACATGCCAAATATTTTACACATCCTGCGACTTCATAGCAGCTTTCCAGTATCTGAAAGGGTCCTAGAGGGAAGCTGGCAAGGGACTCTCTCAGGAACTGTAGTAACAGGATGGAGATAATGGGCTCAAACTGAAAGATGGGAAATTCAAGTTAGATGTATAATAGATGTTCTTTACAGTGAGCATGGTGAGACAGTGGTACAGGGTGCCTGGAGAGGTCAAGGATGCCCCAGCTCTGTCAGTGTTCCAGGACAAGCTGGATGTGGCATTGACCAACAACCTGGTCTAGTGGAAGATGTCACTTACCATGGCGGGCAGGATGTGACTAGATAAGCTCTAAGGTCTCTTCCAACCCAACCCATAATATGATTCCATGTTAGCTATTTTCTAGCTCACGTGGCTAAAGATTATTGCCTTTTTAGCAATGAAACTCAAACATATTAATGAAAGCTGCTTTTTCAAAACTTTTTTTAGGAAGAACTCCCACTAGGTTATCCCAGTCCAGCAACAGTGGATCAAAGAGGAGATGTATTTGTTGATGAATTTACAACTGAAAGCCCTGCCCTGAGTGAAGAGATCAGCATCCCTGAAGAATTTAATAATTTTATTACATCTGAACCTGATTTTCCTACCAAACCCTCTAGAGAACCATTCCAGGACAGATACCCATACACCCAAGTTATTACTACCGACCACCCAAGCTTCACAGTGCCTTTCAGTGCTCTGGGTAGCACCAGCAGTCCTCCAAAATCAGAGGATTCCTATTTGCCTCCCCCAGCAGATGATTCTGCTGGCAAAGACTTGCTCACCGACGGCTACGAGCCCCCAGTGGAGCTGGCTACAGCAGGAAGCTTCACCACACCTGATCTCCTGCCTGCCAGAGAGGTGGAGAGTGAAGCTGAAGAGGGGCAAGAACTGACTGATATAGCAGAACCTCCTTTCAAGGAGGTAGACCAAGACAGTCTGTCTGAACAAGGTAAGGCACAAGAGAATTTTATGTAAGAGAGACTAGGAGAGCTCGTTGTGACACCTACAGTCACGTGTCAGAGCAATAATCATTCCTTTCCATTGTGACAGAAAACTTTCCTTCACAACCAAAGGTGAAAATATACATTTCTGGTGGCCTCTTCAGCAAAATCCTAATGCACCTTAGTTCAAGGTTGTCAAACCAAACAACAAAAGCCTAAGGATAAGGAGCACTTAGTACAGAGTATTATGGTAAAATTTCAAAAAGGCAGAGCAAAAGGACATGTCAGGAAGAAAAAAAAAAAGGGAATTCTAGTTTAACATAAAAAAATAGTTTCTTAAAAATGGAAAGTAAACTGCTTTGGGCTCTGCAGACAGTTGTGGATGATAGCAGAGAGAGTAACCTGACATAATTTCTTCCAAGCAAAGAGTACCATGGATCAGAAACATACAAGTCTGATTAATGTGAAAAATTTTTTAGATTTCTATTTTTTGTATTATTTATTCCATTTTATCCATGCAGTAGTCAAGGAGGCACCCATCTCCATGAGGAAAAGTATATAATAAAAGAAAAAAAGGATATATATACTTATGTGGAGAAAAGTCTGGATAATGCAGCTTTTCAAATGAAAATAACGATAGACAAATTTCCCACAGCTGACTCTGCAGTCTAAAGAAAGTTCAGACAAAGATAGTAGGGTCAGCTTTGTGGCACAAGCAATTTAGGCTTTCCCCCAGAACAGGTAAATATCTGTAAGGCTACTACTGCCATGACCTCCACCAGCAGCTACAAAGCCTTACGAGCCACTGTGTGCAGGTAACTGGATTGTGCAGGGCAGCAGCCTCCACTGGCAAAGCAGCAAAAGCCACAATTTGGAGGAGTTACACTCCATCTGTCCCAGCTCTCGTCCGCTCCCTCTCCAATCCTGCTCCCTGGCCTGGTGTTACCATCTCAGTGTTAGGTCAGTAATTGTAAATTTTATTTACACTTCAAAGCCTGTACTTTCTGTGTAAGATGCAAGAGGTCACTACAGGCACAAGGGAGGAATTAGTTCTTGGATGAATATTCATATGTGCTTTGTCTCAGATTTTTGACTGACTCTCTCAACAGAAAAGCAGAGAGCAGGTAAGCACATCATGGGAGTCAGCAGGAATCTTTGATGTCCCCACATAGTCTCTAAGCAATACTAAAAAAATCTGCAGAGGAAAAACAAACAAAAGGCAAATTCAGTGCAAAATTCCAACAAGAGGCAGTGGCTTGCACAGCAATACTCGGTGTTTCTGCATCTCTAAGAATGTCATGCTCAAAGCTTGAAAGCTTGCTCCCAGCTGCAGGAAAGTTCCCTGTTCCCACAGGAGGTTCTGCCCTGTCCCAGTTCAACCAGCTCCCTCTCTGCCCAAACCCTGGCCTTTCATGTCCCTCCTGTACTTGAGAAGTCTCTTGACTTGTACTCTGTACTTAAGAATACTGAACCCTCCTCCCCCTTTCAAGATGTTCCTCCTTATCCAGCATGTCCAAAACCAGCAGGTTTCATCCCTGCTGCCTGGCCATGTCCTGTAAGGCAAAGAGGCAATGTTTGCAGAGCTGACTGGGAACGCTCCCTGCATGGCGATAACATCCTTCACAATGGACCTGCCCAGCAGAAGTGTGGGAGTGGGGAATGCATCCAAGCATCCTACAGCCTGTGGGACTGCTTGGCTGCATACAGAAAATAACTACATCAGCGTTTTAGAGAGTAAAGGATGTAAAAGGTGCCAGCTGGGAACACACAGCCATCAGTTCCTGACTGGGAAGAGCACAGCATATTTCATGGTCATGCTGTTGCAAGGTAGTTAATGCACTGAATATAAACTTCTCATTCTATAATCTTGCCTTTATACACAGAGTTCAGAAATGAGAGAAAAGCAAATACCTTATGATTAGCAGAGTGACTTAAAGTTTAGAAAAATCACTTCTTACAAGAATCTGTTGTCAAATGCTCCTGAAAATAATGTTTATGATGTAAAGTTTTACATGCAACTGTTTTCAAATGCATGCTGAGAAGTCTTGTAGTGCTACTGATAAAAGCATAACATACTTTCAAATAACATTCATTATAACTGTGGAAAAGTGTTACATTTGCAGGGAAAAGAAAGTCATGCATTTTTCATTCTATTCACTCTTTGCATTAGGGACTTGATGTCATAAAAACTGCATAAAGTCACATATCTCTTTCCCATTTTCTTAAATATCTCTCTCCTATGAGCTCCAAATGGCTGAAGAGAAGAAGCAGAGGGTCTTTACCTCACCTGTACTGACCCCTTAAGAAATTATTTGCTGCATATTTAGGTTAGAACCTGCCAAGTTGCAAAACAGAACAAAATTTAGAGCTGTGAAAAAAAGCCTCCCCCAAAATAAGGCTTCCTATCTTGTTTCTCCTTGTTGAACAAAATTTATGTCTAAAACAAGCACCAGAGTATAAGAATTCCATCATTATTTCTGCAGCTGAGTAGCAGGAGAAGAAAATAATTGTTCCTTGTCTAAAAAGTAGGGATGCTGTGTTAGCAATGATTCAAAGCTGTAGCTATTTTCTTAAAAGCTTATAGTACACAAAGCATAATGCATGCTTAATAGTCAGGAGAGCTGTTGAAAACTTATTTATTGAGTTTTTAAAATGTATACTCTTTACTCTTTAAAACTTTTTTCCCTTTTTAAAGCTTTTTTCATTTCTGGCAGTCCTGTGTGTATGGTATTTCCTGTAGTCTTTTAGTCCCTGATATATTGTATATTTCATGGGAACTGATAGAATTCAATGTGGAAATTCAGGTTTTATTAAAGTCAGCAGTGTTAGTACTATTAATTTTAATATGGCAAGTGGAATCTACCTGGTACAGAATATTTCACACTTTGTGTCTGGCTTCATTTCATAGCTGCTCTTTTTAGTAATATGGGAAAAAAAAAAACCCAAACAAACAAACAACAAATTTTAAACTGTTATTGGTGTGAAATGGCAGGAACAACTCAGGCAGTGCTGTAAAAGTTTGGACAGAGGATTAAGGTCTAAACAATTGTCAGAAATTCTACTGTATTAGTTTTCAGCTGTTTCCCCACCCTACTGCACAGAAGATGGAGCACATTTTCTTCATCATATGATTAGAAATTTAAATTCACTCTTCTTTATCATGAAAGGAAAAACTGGCTACCAAAAATAACGTAGTCTGAGATTCTTTTAGGTATTAGCTCTGTTTCAGAGATGGACTTTATTGCATTGGCTGTCACTTGTGTGCACTGCTGACTGGAGATCACTAGAGCCTTCTGAATATTGAATGTCCATGTCCTGCACCAACTACTTTAATTGTACATGCCTGAGGTCACTCAGAAAGTAATAAAAACACTTCTTTCAGAGCTCCCCAAAAGATAATCAGCCTCAGCCTCACACACAAAAATATAGGGAAAGCTCTGCATACAACACAATAAAGGTGAGCAAAAACAGGTGAGGGATGCAGAGTCCATGAGAGGTTTCCCTTTGAGCCATGCAAGAATGGGATTTGCCCAAGAATGGGGTGTGGGCAGGCAGTGGGAGTGATGAGCCAGGAGCAGGAGTGGGGTCTGTGTCAGGCAGTGCTGTGATAGCACAGTTCTGCACAGTGACCGTGTCCGGGATTAGAGCACCGTGCTGGCCACATGGTGATGGCAGCTAATCCACCCCTTGACTAGTCCAGAACCAGCAGGATGATGCCATGCTGTCCTTAAAGTAAGCCTAGTGTTCTGAGATTTCACTATAGAGTTAGAAGAAAGCCTGTGGCACAAATTTCCAGAGCACTTGTTGAAAAGTTCTGAAATGCCTGCATCAGATATCACTATTTCAACATCTGACACTTCAGAAAGGTGTCTTGTTTTTTTTTTTTCTATAGCACCTTTAAAATCTTGTCTATTTCTATTTTCCATTTACAACCAGTGCAAAAAAAAAAAAAAAAGAATTTTTCCCCCTACTGTCTGAGAAGATACATGATCAATTTTCTCTTGCATTCTTCTTTCTTTTTCGTATTTCAACTTCCTTCTGGAGTTAAGTCATTAACATTTCTTCTGTACAGTTAAATTTCTTTCCTTTCAAGTCCTCCTGTGACTGTCTAAAACAGTGTGATAATTCAAAAGGGAAACAATTTATGTAATGTATTAAATGTTTATCCCAAAATCCTGGCCATAATGGAGGAGGCATTATTTCTGGAGAAGTTATTGCAAAAGAAAAGAAAGCTATCAATAAAATCCTTCAGCTACTCAGATGTTCTGCATCTCTGTTTGAGGAGCCTGGGTTATCCTCAGGCTCTCAAGAATCTCAGGGACAAAGACTGCAGGGATTATTGCAGGGATTTTTTCTGTGAGAAGAAACCACTGATAAGAACTACTTGATGGTCACATCTCCTTTTGTGTAACTGATAAAAGCCTCATTAATAATTAATCTCATGTTCACACAAACCTGCTGTAAGTTGTCCCTATTAATATTATCCTGCTACCCAACAGTTAATTAGGTGGCACACTCTTCTCTCAGTATTATTCCTAGTAATCTCTAGGAAAAAAACCCTCAGGTTTTTGTGTATTTGTGGATTCTTTCCATCTCTGGTTCATCCTCAGCTGCCTAAGCACTGTCTTTGCATAGCACAATTTTCTATTTGGCATAGCCAGCACTGTCACAGAAAAGAAAACCCCGCTGTTTCTTGCAAGAACCTCTCCGGATGTTCCCAGGATTGGAATTCACCCATTCTTTGTGCCAGGAATGCTCACCATTTTTTTCACATCGATGGATATAGAGGGTAAGAGCTCCCTTGTTCCTTTGGATATTTTTATGTTTTCCTTATGTTTTTTTGGGTCATAAACTGACAGGACTTTCTTGACATTTTTCCCCATCAGCTTCTCTCCGTGCCCTTCCACTTGTCTCTTGCTGTGTCAGAAGAGCAAAGAATGGTTTTTGTGAAGGTTGCCTGATGTTTGGAGAAGTGAACAGGTGGGTCTAGCAATGTCATTTTCTCAAG